AAAAAAAAAAAAAAGTAAAAACAAGGGATTTATCAAGATTTTTCAGCAGACCTGGTCTTCGGCATCTTCCTTATAATATTGGATTATTGGCAAAGGGAAAAAGATTATTTTGGGAGGCTGAGAAAATAAACAGAGTCCTGTAGAAAATCCATTTTCGTCCGTGTGGCCGAGGAGCTGGTGATCTCCTAACATCCAGCTCCTTCTCCTCTAGTAGCAGAAGGTTAGAAAGTGTGCCCAGTGGACAAACTATGTTACCCAGCCTCTCTTCTGGCTAAAAATGACCATGTGACTCAACTCTGCTGGTAAGATGTGAGCAGATGTTCTGGGAGGGTCTCTTAATAAAGAAGGGGCAAGTTGTCCTTCCCTCTCTTTGATTTCCTACTGCCTATAAAATTCTCATGCTGGCTGGTGCATTAGCAGTGCTTTTGGGCCATGAGGCGTACGAGAGGATGGAAGCTTTGCATGGCAGAAAGGTGGAGCCAGGGTTTCTGCCGATTGTGGAGCTGTCATATTGGCCCTAACTGCCCACCTCAGGATTCCTCTTACTTGAGAGAATAAAGTCCACAAATATTTAAACTTCTGTGGCTGAGTCTCTGCTACTGGCAGCTGATGCAGTTTGTAAATGATACAACTCAAAATTAAACTTGCTTTTTCTTACACTTTGACATATCCTATCCAGCTTTAAGCTCACCTTTCTGTTACCCTTTTATTTTCTAAAAATACCTGATGCTTTCTTGTTCTTTTATTCTTAGTCCTATTAAAAATTGCTTTGGGAATAATAACTGTTAAATTGCTTTATATTAAGTTGTAAATGACTGATAAGTTTTATTGTATCACCCACAATCTGCCCTTCCAGGGGAATATGAATTGCAAGTGTAGAAAGAGACTTAGGTTGGAGGACTGAATCACTGCTACTATAAAGATAGGCTTATATAAGTAAATTTGAAAATTAAGTGGATAATTTTCTAGAAAAGCATATCTGACCCAAACCATTAAAGAAATGGAACCAGTAGTTATAAATCTATCCCACTAGAAAACAAGGAGAAGCGCAAGCAAAACCAAAAACAAGACCTTCCCTGCCCAGTGGCTTGAAAGCAAAGTCCAGGCAGACATTCCAGGGACAGGTAATTACAATGTCACCCAACTTGTCTCAGAGACGAGGAGGGTGCCCTCCCCAGCACCTCTTGAGACTAGTCTGTAACCTTGATACAAAAACCCAGAGGAGGACGCTCTGGAAGAGGAAAACCATAGGCCTAAATCGCTCAGAAAAGGACGTGAAAAATCTTCAGATATCAGCAAAACAAATCCTGCAATGTACTGCAAGATGCTCCTCCATGGCTCAGCTGGATTTATCTCAGGAATGCAAGGCTGGTTTAGCGCTGGGAATTCCATTAACAAAATTCACCTATTACCAGATCAAGGGGGACACCGAGACATCAGGGAGGGCGTGGGGGTCTGCCAAGCCCTTGGAGGGTTGTCTCCGCCTCCAGCAGGCTGGGCACAGTCCCTGCCCGTGGACATCGGGTGGTACGCACTTTATGCCCAGTGTCGTTTTGTTCAGGGTCCCAGTGTACGTGCAGGTGGCAGAACTCAGGCTGCCTGGCAAGGCACAAAAAGGGGACCCACCTTCACCACGGTGACCATGCCCTCGTTGGTGACGGGGTCCGTGCGAACACTGAAGTGCCCGGAGGGGTCCCCGCTGATGATGCGGTAGACGGCGTTCCAGTTTGGCGAGTGGGGCTGGTCTCGGTCCATCACGGTGAGGTTTGCCACCACTGTCTCTACCCGGTTTTCGGGGACCTCCCCAGCAAACTGCAGAAGGGGAGGAGAGAGAATGTCACAAACCCGTTTTAAGTGTAAAATACGTGCAGAAAAGGGCATGTCGTGTGTACAGCTCAAGGAATTTCCACAAACTGAACTCCTCGTGGAAACCAGCCCCCGGATCAGGATCAGAGCAGACGGCCGCCTGGGGGGGGTGTGTGGCACCAGCACCGCTGGATGCGGCTGGGTGGGGGCCACCGGCTCGGCCACCACGGCTCGGACCTGCCACCCGCGGAGCAGCTAGAACAAGAGACGTTTATTTCCTTCCCAGCCCCCGCGCCAGGCCCCTTCCTGGCCCCAGTTTCCACCTGTGCTGGCTGAATGGTGGCCCCAGAGACAGGCCATCTCTCTCCCCCTAGAACTATAAATGTCACCTTATGTGGAAAAAGACGTGATTAAGTTACGGATTTTGAGACGGGAGGTTCTTCTGGACTACCCTGGTGGGCCCAAATGCCGTCGCATGCGTCTTGGTAAGAGGGAGGCCCCAGGGGACTGGACAAGACGGAGGATAAGGTCACAGACGCTCGGAGGAGAGGCCGGGTGGAGACCGAGGTGGAGGTCGGGGCGAGGCGGCCACAAGCCCAGGAGCGCGGAGCAGCCGCAGAAGCCGCAAGAGGCCGGATCCCTGCGCAGTCACCGGGGGAGGGACGCCGTGGACTGCAGACTCCGGCCCCCAAACCGTGGGCGGATGAACTTCTGTTGCTGTTGGGCCTCACTGTGTGGTCAGTGGGGACACTGGGGCAGCCACCGCTGACTTCTAGCGCCACGGACGGACGGGTTTACCTGGGCCGCCCTTTGCGCAGATGGAACCTTCTGCCTTGCGTTCTTCCCCTCACCCGTGGCCCCAAGAGTCCTCCGCGTGCTGCACAGCTGTGGTCCCCGAGCGTGCTCCGTGGTGTGCGTGTGCTGTGGCCACGTGGCCTCCTCCGGTCCGGGCGTCAGGAATAGGGCCGTGCGCACGTCTGCCGTGGAGCACCGGACCCCTTCCTGCTGGGAGTGTCCCCGGGAGGGACAGTGCAGCGTCCTGGCACGGGGGACTGTGTGGCCGAGCTGTGTCCCCCACCACCATACGTTGGAGCCCCACCCCCAATAGCTCAGAATGTGGCTGCGTTTGGAGACAGGACCTTTCAGAGGTGATTAAGTTCAAACGAGGCTGCCAGGGTGTGCGCGGCGTGGCCCTAGCCGAGGGTCAGGGAGGAGCCCTTGCGTGCAGCCGACAGAGACGTGCACTGACTGCGGAACCCAGGGCGTGTCTCAGGACGCAGGCAGCAGGTGGCTCGGCGCGAGGGTCCTGGGGCTGTGTCCTTCCCGGCCTCCTGTGGCCCGTCACCTCTGACCGGCAGCGAGGCGCATCCGTCCCTTAGATGAGGAAGCCAGCCTTCCCACGGCAGACTCGCGTGGCCTGCCGGTGGCCAGGGCGCGTCCCACGGCACTAGGAGCCGCAAGAAGGCAGCGTGGTGAGGTGGGAAAGGGAGAGGGGGCCGGGGAGCTGGCAGCAAGCAGAGTGCGTCTGCCGCAGGCGCGTCCTCCACGGCGGAGCAGAGGGGCCCAGAGCGCCCGGGTTCGCTGCAGCGTCACAGAGCCGGGGCGGGGAGACGCGACCACGCAGCTCCCCGGCTGCCGAGAGCCACGTCGCGCGAGTGTCTGCAGTGAGTGGGCCGCGGCTGACGGCGAACATGGGGCCACACGGATGGCGGCTGTCC